CCAGAACCTGGTCCACAAGGACCTGGCCGCCCGCAACGTGCTGGTCTTCGACAAGCTGAGCGTGAAGGTGCTGGACCTGGGTCTGCTCCGGGACGTGTACTCGGCCGACTACTACGCCCTGACGGGGGCCGGCCCCCTCCCGGTGCGCTGGCTGTCCCCGGAGGCGCTGGCCTACGGCCACTTCTCCAGCCACTCGGACGTGTGGGCGTTCGGCGTGCTGCTGTGGGAGGCCTTCAGCGGGGGGCTGCAGCCCTACTGCGGCTGCTCCAACCAGGAGGTGCTGGAGCTGGTGCGGGGGGGCCGGCTGCTGCCCCGCCCCGACCGCTGCCCCCCCTGGGCCTACGGCCTCATGCTGGACTGCTGGGCCGAGTTCCCGGGCCGGAGGCCCCGCTTCCGGGAGCTGCAGGCGCGGCTGCGGGGGTGGGAGGGGGGCCCCCCCCCGGCCTCCAGCCCCAGCAGCACCACCCAGACCAGCTCGCTGAGCACCAGCCCCGTCAGCAGCGCCGCCCCCCCGGGGGGGCGCTACGCCAGCCCCAAGAAGAGCGCCCCCCCCTTCCACTACCTGCCCGTGAAGGGGCCCCTGCAGCGGCCCCTGGTGGCCCCCCAGCTCTACATCCCGCTCAACGGCTACCACCCCATCCCGGCCTTCCCCTACATGCAGAACTTCTACCCCATGCAGATGACGGTGGCCATGCCCCCCCAGCAGATGCACGCGCCCCCCCCGCCCCCCCGCCCCCCAGCACCGCGGCCGCCGGCTCCCCCTCCCCCGGCTACGTCACCTCCGCCCCCCCCAGCCTGCTCCCCGGGGAGGGCCCGGCCCAGGGGGCCCCCCCGGAGGAGCCGGGGCCGGACCAGGGAGACCAGGAGACCGAGCTGCTGGGGGACCCCGAGCCCCCCCACTCCGAGGAGCTGATGGTCCACATAGCAGACTCGTAGGGACCAGCGGTCAGGACTACGTGAGGACTTGTGGAGGGTCCGGGGGGGGGGGCGTGTGGGGCTCTGGTCCGTCTCCAGCCCTGTAGCAGCGTTGGTCTCCATGTGTAGGATTTCTGAAGTCATTCTGGATCGTTTCTCCTTCCTGTTTCTGCTCAGAAAGCCTTTGGTCTAAACTAGGAACAGCTGCCTGATGGGCCCCTCTGGATCTCATTAGACCAGTACTGTGTTCCTCACGTGCACTCACAGCTTAGTGATGATGTCATAGCACCGGCCAGCCCCCGCCTGCTCACATTCTGCTCTGGTTGCTGTTCGGGTCTTTGGTTAGTGAAAAAAAGCAAAAGCGAACTGAGGAGTGATGAGTCAGAGGCTTTTCTGACGTCAACATTCCATTTTCAGTAACCAAACTCAGAGGAATCGGAAAAATAACGAAGCCTTTTTTCCCCACAACTATGTTCCCTCAGAGGGGCCCTCAGAGAGGCCTCCTCTGGGAGGGGGCCGGCCGGCGCCCCCTGCTGGCCTCAGCGGGGGCTGCACACACTTTGGGGGAAACTCCTCTTTTGCTTCCAGGTTTACAGGCACAGCAGCTTTTGTCCTCTTTACACGCTAAAGCTGTTGTCATTAATAAAGCTCACACTTGTATCTGTATCTACAGTTTGACCAATGAGCTGAGGCCTGGTGGCTGTTACATGCTTGTACGTGTGTCCATGTCAGGCTTGGATTTTGGTTTTGTTCTTGTACCTTTGCAATGGTGATTTTATTCTTGTCATTTTTTACAAGCCACATGAAAAATAAAAAAACACCAATGAACATAAAGGGAATAAACATTTAAAGAGAAGATTTAAGCTCTTTCTTTTCGTATTAGAAGTTAAAGAGTGGGTGGTCAGTGGGAGACTGAACTTTAAGTTCTCCAGTTCTGGATTATTTCACTTATTTGGCTCTTAAGTTTTTATCTTCCTTATACATTGTAATTATTTTACAGGTTTATACTTCTGTGGGTACTCCTAACAATACAGACACTTTTATCAGCATTTCAAAAGAATACAAACATAAAACATCATCTTCAAAAATATTTATTTACAAATATATTACATACACAGTATATTATTTAGATATATCTATTTACATATATAGACAGAATAAATGCAGAGCAGCATCAACAACAAGCCGTTTACGAACAACCGTGTTTCCACATGTTTCAAACCAGGGTTTTTTTCTAACCCTGACCACAGTTCAAACTTTTGGGCCCTGTCTTAGTTGAACATGGTCTCAGCTTCAGAGAGATGCTAATGCTAATGAGATGCTAATGCTAATGAGACGAGCCTCTGATGGTACAGCTACGTAGGAAGACTTTAGGATGAAAGCTGAACAGGCCTATTTCCTCTGGTCCATGTCACAGAGGGAGATGGAGATTGTGGAAGTCCTGAAATATGACCTGCTCCCTTCAGATGTTGCTGTGAGTTCCTCTGTAACCTTTAGGACGAATTCTTTGTTCTGGTTTTCTGAAGCTTTTTTATTTTTCAGCCCACCCTGATTGTTCCCAAGTGTTATCTGCTGACCCCTCCACCCCCCCCCCCCCCTTAGCCCCTCCACCCCTCACCAGGACCAGCTCAGTGAGGCTGATGGGGGGCAGGACCTGGTCCCCATGAGGAATGAACTGTCAGCCATATTTCCGGAAAAGATCCCGAGGGTTTATTCCACCAATCCCATTCGCTCACCTGATCACATCTAAATATGAGTAAACATTTTGAGACCCCTAGAGGCCTCCTTCAGAGGCCCCCAAAGGGCCAATATAGGCCCCCCAGAGTCCCACAGAAGCCCCCAGAGACCTCTGAGGCCCAAGGAGGCCTCCAGAGACCCCCCCAAAGGCTTCCTTCAGATGCCCCCAAAGGGCCACCATAGGGCCCCCAGAGGCCTCCAGAGGGCACCATAGGGCCCCAAAACCCCCCAGAGCCCCCCTCAAGAGACCTCTAGAGGCCCCCAGAAGACCCCCAAAGGGCCACCATAGGGCCCCCAGAGACCTCCAGAGGCCCCCAGTGGCTCCCAGTTGAAACGGGCCCTTTTCAAGAAAGCAGGAGATCTCCGGGTTTTCTAGACAGCGGCGGGAAAACAAACTCCAAACGCACGCAGTGACGCCGTCCACGTACGGTGAGATCCAGCTTCCTGCTGAGCGGCCCAGACGCGCGCTGATTGGCTGAAGTCGGAAGATGCTGAGCGCTGATTGGCTGCAGAGGCTGTCGTTTAATCCACGCTGCCAATACTCTTAATCACTGACCTACTAACACAGATCCATGAGTCACCGGCCACCTTGAGAGGAGGCGTCGGGAGGAGACCCGCCGCGTGGAGGCTGCCGGATGACCGCGGGTCTCTGCGGGAGCTGATGGGAAACCTGCCCGGGCTGAGAGCGTCTGACACGGGGCGGAAACCCGGAGCGAGGCCGGCGAGCCGCCGGTAAAGGTACGGAGGGACTCCCCGTTCGAGCTGACGTTCAGCCCCCGGTGCGTGCGGCCGGACCCCGGTACTCCGGTCCTCCGGACCCCGGTACTCCGGTCCTCCGGTCCACGCCAGGCGGGGAGCCGCTCCGGGCGCGTTATCCTCTGTCAGAGCGGAGGCGGCCGCCTTTCGGGACAACGTGCCGGCTTTACCGGAGCCGGGCCGGGTCCGGGTCCGGGTCCTGGTCCGGAGCCTGGTCCGGGTCTGGAGCCGCGTCTAGAGCCTGGTCCGGGTCCGGGTCCTGGTCTGGAGCCGGGTCCTGGTCCGGGTCCGGCGGCCGGCGGCTGCGCGTCTCTGCGGGGCGTATCGGAGCCGCTCCGGCCGCGGTGATGTCATGGAGCCGGTGAATGGCCACATTGGGGGGGTCCAGCCTGGGGAGGGAGTCCAGCCCGGCGTGGGGGGGCCGGAGCACATCACGCCGGTCTGTTATTGCCACATCGGCAAATGTTGCATAATGAGGGCTGCCGGAGACATGGCTGGCACGGGGGGGGGAGGCCGGCGGGGGGGGGGTTGTGTAATACGGACACAATGGAGGAATGTGGGGCAATAGGAGGTGAGGACGGCCCGCCTCCGGAGCCCACTCCCCCGGCCCGGGCGGCTGCCGGGGACCGGGGACCGGGGGAATGGGGGCTGGCTCCCCGGTCCCCGGCAGACCCCCCCCCTTCTCCGCTAACATGAGCGGCTATTTTTACCCACGTGCCTCCACATTTAGTGTTGATGTCATAGCGCCGCGTGCACGTCAGCATTGTCTCCGCCGGGAGCCTCCGGGCTCCGCTCTGCCGGGACTGGGGGCCCGGCCCCCGGGGTCCGGGCTCCGGGGTCCAGCCTCCGGGGTCCGGGTCCGGGGTCCAGCCCCTGTGTTTTAGCTGGGCTGCAGGAGGAGGGGCGTCAGCGGCTCCACATCTGGAGCTCCTATTTCCAGACCCGGGTCCGGTCCAGATTTGGTGCCAGTGCTCATGATGTGTATAAATAAGCTGAGAGGTCCCAAGTGGATCCTGCCTGCTGGGCTCTGAGCCCTGAGCTGGACCTGGTCTGAGCTGGACCCGTTCAGAGCTGGACCCGTTCAGAGCTGGACCCGGTCTGAGCCGGACGCGGTCTGAGCTGGACCCGGTCTGAGCCGGACCCGGTCTGAGCTGGACCCGGTCTGAGCTGGACCCGGTCCCAGACCCTCACAGAGTCCCCTCTTCCTCCCCAGATCCTTCCAGCTGAGCCGGATGCACCGGGGGGGGGGGCATGCTGACCCCCTGAGGAGCCCCACTCCGACTGTAGCCCACAATATGCAATCCATCAAGCAGGAGGCCGACTCTGGGGAGTCCTACGATGGGGGGGGCGCCCTGCTGCTGGCCGTGGCCCTCCAGGGGCCCCACAAAGACCTCCTGGGGCCCCACACAGACCTCCTGGGGCCCCACACGGAACTACTGGGGCCCCACACAGACCTCCTGGGGCCCCACACAGACCTCCTGGG